TTTAAACTTGGCCTTTGTAAGTATTTCCCTTAATTTATTGTTATTTTACCACTCGTTTTATCCGCATTTATTATAGATTATTTGTTTCGAGATTATGTACTTTATTTTAAAAAATTACTTGATGTTATATTAATACTACTTACTATGTTCAAATTATTAATAGTTTTGCGACGATAGGTTATAGCAACCTATAGCCACAAAACTAGTTTTGTGTAAAAATAGATCCATAGAAAGCAATGTAATTTACAAAGGCCTTCTTTCAACATACAAATAAATGACAACTTTATAATTAAAATAAAAAACACAACAAAATACCTCGGTATCATAATGGATCCAAATTTGAAATGGGCATTATATCCTACCTCTCTTTTATATAATAAAAGAGTGCTTTGTATGGGAACATTATATTATTTGTCTTGCTGTACCTTTATTTATGAAAAGCCTGAATTGAGATATTTATTATTTGCAATAAATATCAAAAGAAGTATACATTTTTAAATAATTTGACATTTAAGAGCCATTCACATATCACAGTTGACATCTTGATACTTGACAGGCACAGCCAAGCATTATTTTGATTTTTGCCAAATAAAATGGTCGGTTAATTATTCTATGGGGTTGCGACAGAGAAATTTGATGAAGGTGTTTTTGTGGCTAGGGGCGAAATAATAGTACGCTTAATAGCACTACCATAAAAAAGTCATTTTTAAAAAACTGCTTATATATTTTTCATAAATTGGCAGGCTTGGCGAATAATTGAAATTCCTAAAATTGTCACATAAGGAATGCATAGGCGGATTTTAAAAAAATTGTTATTAAAGTAGTTAGGATGAACCGAACATTCTAAAAATCAATAGGGTTCTAAGTTAGAAGTAATTATTCAAGAAAATCAAAACCGCAAATCAATCAGAACTTTCGTTCTAGAGTTATCGTGTCAGCATACATACACACAGACGACCAGACGAAATTTTTTCTTGGATTTTCGGACTTAGAATGATCAGAAACATAAAAAAAAAGTTTTAAAAAATGCGGGTCAGAAAATTTTTTCGTCTGCACGAATGCAATACTGAGGCCCCATAGGAAGGGCCTCAGTAATATTATATTGTAGATTTCCTTTGTACTGGACGATAATTCTAAGCAAAAACTCAAGAATTTTAGAAGCAAAAGTAAATACTACAGAATTGGTTAAAGAAGAATATATAACACTTTAAATTTTAGTAAAAGTGAATCTGGAGTTAGGGTACATGATACGTCTATATTTTCAGACTATGAGATGTGCTATAAAAATCTTGCCGTTGCGGACATTGTATGCATTGCATGCTAGCATAAAGAGCTATATATGGGATATGTATGTGCTAGCTGGGTAGAATCTGATCACATGTGATTAATGAGTTATTTAATTTTCACTTAAATTAATATTGAAAATCAAAAACTAATATCTTACTAAACAATATTCCTCAGACTATTTACACTAATCAGCCGCACTTTATTCTGCTTTACTTTAACAATACTTCACTAACTTAAAGGGTTTTATCTTTTTGTCAAATTAACGTTATCGACAATATATATCCTCGTTAAAATAAAATAACGAACAACGATTTGCACAATTATTATTATGTAGGCATATCATTGGACGACTAAGTATTTTTTAAATACAATTAAATACAATTGCCGAGTGCTGCTTGACTACAGCAAGGCCTTTGACACACTTGATCACCAACTTCTATTAAAAAACTTTGCTATTTTGGATTTTCTGCACGGGCCGTTAAACTTTTAAAAAGTTATCTTGAAAATCGCACCCAGAAAATTGTCCTGGACGAAGCTGTGTCGAGATCCCTTCCGGTTAAGTATGGTGTTCCAGAACGTTCCATTTTAGAACCGCTACTTTTCTCACTATACATTTCAGATTTTCATCAATTTGTAGAAAATTGTCATGTTCATCATTACGCCGATGATTCGCAACTCTACCTACTTGTCTTTTAACCAACAAAATTCTTTACAAGCTCAATACATCATAAATCTAAATTTAAAAAAATTATATGATATATCGTCAGCACATAATCTCAAATAAAACTCAAAAAAATCTGTCTTTATGCTATTTGGGCCCAATAAAGCTAGAAATCTTCTAACTAATAATTTTAAACTTAGCATAGATCATGACCCCATTCCACTTGTTTATGATCATAAAAACTTGGGGCTGTGGATTAATTCTGAACTTAGGTTCACAAAACATATTTCTCAACTGTGTCAAAGGGATTTAAATCGTCTTCAAAAAATTCAAAATTCGTGCATTAGGTTCGCTTACGGTATGCGTAAATTTGACAGAAATTCAAAGAATCAAAATGGCTGCATATCAAAAAATTACATTCTTTGCATATTCTGAATATAACTCACAAACAGTGGCGGCTCGTGGGCACTAGCGGCAGTAGGGCATATACTGGAAAGGAATCCCGGGATTCGTTTTTCCCTTAGGAAAACAAGTTCTCCGCTTAATGGAAATTAAATATATTTCAAAACAATCAATTTTTAAAGTGTTTTGTTTGATAATAATTAATTGATTTACTATAAATACCAATTTTCGTCCCAATTTTCATATTTATCTTATACATATTCTTATATTATTATGTAGTTAAAGTTTTCCAGTGCTATTTATAATTGTTAATAAGTCCAAACTGTATAGTTTAATTAAGTGTTCATCTGGTGTCATAAATTTGGATATATTATCAATTTATTCCCTAATTATAATTTGAGTAATTTATTCTTTAGAATACTAGTCACTTATGTACTTATTTTAATAATACATTTGTTAATTTTCTAATACTTATTATTAATCTCTCCTCCCCCTTTCAAAACCAGGCAAATATTCCGAGAATTTTAGAAGCCTCGGCGTTTCTATTCCCTTAGGACTAAAAGAGTCTTAAACTAGTTGCCAAGAACTGCTCGACTATGCTATTAAGGGATAATTTTGTTGTTTTTTTAATTTAATTTTTTTTATTATTTTTATTTGCCACTGGTGAATGGATGTTCCTTCTGGACTCCAGGATCCTTTGGCTGGTGACTGCTGCCCTAATCCCTTAATAGTATATTAACAACAGTAGCTATAGACCTATCAGTAGTTAAAAATGGTCCTTTAGGCAAGTTAGAAGTACATTTGGTGACAAGTGGTGGTCTTTAGAGAGTTGGTTGTTACATATCTAGAGTAACAACAAGATAATTTAAAAGCTTATTTAGAGTAATTTAGACCACCGGAAGTGGGAGAGTCTCGATGGAGTACATGTAGTCCGCCAAGTGTTAATGTTGAAATCACAGGTCAGAAGTGTGTTGGAGGAGCTTCATAGCAGCCGTTCAGTAGTATACTTTGGTACTAAAAGAACACTGGCTCGAGTTTGGGAAAGATTTGATTGGGTCAATTGTTCAATTGTTCTGAAATAGCGCCTATTCCTAATCAGGAAGCGACGACAGTAGCGGAAGCATTTATGCATTTTGACCAAGGACAAAATTTTGAATCCGAATTTTTGAAACTGTTAGATATCAGGAAAACACGCACTACGCCTCTCCACCAACAGTCCGACGGAATGGTAGAAAGACACAATTGAACCATGTGCGAGTATCTTTCAATATTTGTCTGCGATAATCAAAAGGACTGGGACACTTTAATTCCTCTATTTCTGCTAGCCTACCGAAGTTTTTAACATGAAACGACCAGTTATACTTCATCCATGATGATTACTGGAAAGGAAATGAAACTTCCCCGTGATCTTCTTTTTGGAAGGCAACCTCCTGGTGAAGAAGGAGGGCGTACACCTCCCACGTACATTCCGAACTTAAGAGAAAGATTAGAGAAGGTATACGAATTCGCTCGGCAACGTTTGAAAGTCAATAGCGATAAAGGAAATGCTAGAATCGACATGGGGATACATTTTGAGAGAGGCGATCCAGTATGGCTGTACAATCCCAAGCGCCGAAAAGGCCTTTGTCAGAAACTGCAATGGAACTGGGAAGGCCCCTACACCATCCCCAAGGTAGTTCACACTGAAAAGTTAGCGCCATATCGTGGTCCAGATCCTCCCAGATGGCTTCAACCAGGTCCCAGTAATCAATTTATTCGGGAAGAATAATTAGAGAAGAGGTAGCAATGTTACCCTGCACCCTTCAGTACCCTGCGGCTATTATAGGAAACGTACCATTTCAAAAAGAATCGCAATGTCACCCAGTCCCCTACAATGTGCTGAGGTCGTCATAAGTAAAAGTACGAGTAAAAGAAGAAGATAGAATATTCCAGAAATGTCTGGACTATTGTAAAGAAAAATCTGAACAGTTCGAGAAGGGCCAACAAGCTTAACGATAGAGGTTATTCGTTCATGTTATCAGTTGTAAAGTTGAGTTAAAATAAATTGAGTTGCCAAAAACCTGCGTAATAATACTTAGGTTATTTAGATTTTAAAATACTTGGACACAGAGCTGGGAAAGGGGGGTACTACCTATGACCATCTCGAACAAGGCGTTTCATATAACTGAGATCGAACTTCACTTCAGGTAAGTTCGTTTGATCTTCCAATTATTGTTCCTACTTTTCATGTTTCGCTCTCTTCTATGTACTTATTTTGCTATTATTTATACAACTAATTAGGGTTTATTATTGTAACACCCAATCTGTTAAAACATTTTTAATTATGCGAAAAAAACTATTTACATAGCCTGTTTTTTATTTTAGTCGATACAAAATTCTGGTTTTAAACTGTTTATTCAGACCATCTACTATACCTATATTTGTTTAAATTAGACATAAAAAAAGTAAATTGATTAGACACGGTGAATTTATTTTATATAGTCTATAAGCCTTTACACCTATTAGGCTGAACATAATTTATGATTGCAAAACATTTATTTGTTTACCACAGTTGTTAGAGAATAATTTGCATTGACCCTGAGAACGGTTTCTATCGGCGCCTATGGATGTGTCGATAATCGCAATATCAACCATTCATAGTATATTTAAGCGCATATCATCATCACGGCTCAGGTAGTACACATTTTATATAGCGACAATGATTGTTATAAAAGTATGTTTTGTTTTAATTTTTTTAATCTCCTTTTCAAAAACGGACAACTGCAACTTACCTAATGAATTGGTAACAGAAATTCGGGGTTACAAGGACACCGTTAACAAGATTATTGATGCAGTTACCAATGGGAAGTACAAGGGACAAACTTACAAGGAGTTAGCTACGTTTGTAGATAAATTTGGAGCTAGACAAGCTGGCAGTGATGTGTTGGAAGATTCAATAGATTATTTATTGGAGTTGTTACCTAGTAAAGGATATGATTTAGAAAGTGTACATGGAGAAAATGTTACTATTCCACACTGGGTGCGGTAAGTTCTTTCTTTTAGTTACAGGTGGTGCTTAGGTGATGCGTGATATTTACATTTCAAGGGATGCGAGGAAAAGTTACGTCTTTAATAAATTTTTACTACTATTTGCACTAATTGTATACATTTTTTTTTATAATAATGAACTCTAAGAGAATTTAATCAAAAAAACATGTTAGTTCACTTTAAAGTTTTCTTTACAAGAATACATTTTTCTAATGTACTTTTACTAAAACGTGCTTTAACAAAAAAAAAAATTATATTGGTATTGCTGATCTCTGTTTTCTTTTACTATTTATCGGAATATTAGCCATAAAAATGTTAGGTTTTGGGTTAAAATAGTATTTTGTGCAACAAGAGTGGATATGATAGCCGATGTGGATAATCCACTCGAGTTGTACAGTATATTTTTTCTACGACTCACGAACGTAAAACAAATAAAAAAAATATTTTAGATTAAGACAAAATAACTAATTATAAATAATGTATGACTTTTAATAATTTTTAAAATAAAATAAACGAAAAAAAATAAAAAAAGAGTAGAGGCTCGAACTTGCGTTTCTCGCGAGGAAGGCAGATACCTTAACCACTCATCCACCAGCAGTTTTAGGAAAATTTTTTAATACTCTTAATTGATTTGACTCCATAGAGTTTTTCTAACATTAACAAATGATTTATAATTATAGTATAAATAAAAATAGAAATGCTATTATTTATCGATTCTACACAAAAATAAGTCATTTTAATGTATGTTAGCAGGTAAACAAATTTTTGTTAATTGTATTACGGTAAAGCACATTGGCAGTCAAGAGTGGGGGGGTGAGAGAAGTGATGGCGGTGGTAGCGTACCGTCGGCTGCACTCTCCTGGGCAGACGAGTTGGGTTGCCTTGAGTGTTATAGTGAAGTCAAGCTGTTAGTTGATTCTCACGCATTGTGTTCTATCGATAATAATTTGGTAAATAAATAATTATTTGACTTGATAATTAATAAAATCTAAGATGTATATTTAAGTTCAATAACTAAAAAATATACTGAGAATTAGTTTGACAGAATTGTCACTTATTTAAAATTTTTAAAATAATAGTTGTCGAGTTACTAAAATAGTATACTTTTTCGTTTTGAGGTCTGTGCGTAGATAAGCTAATATCCATGTGGGAGTAGAAAAAATATTTTATATTCTATTTTCAACTATAATAATTTATTTGATCTCGTGTATGATATACAGGGTATACCAACGATAACTTGACACTCCAGAAACACACAAAAAAGAAGTGTTCTAAAATTTAAAACAGAAATCAACTTTTATTGGTAATAGGACGAATTGTCAGGGGCGGATGAGCCAACCGTGAAACCAGGAGATTTCCGGTGCGTCGGTACTGCAAGCACCGGTCCTAGGATTGACAGCCGTCAGTCCTAGCGCCTAGAGGTGGGAAGTTCGAATCTTTTTACTGAATTAATTCATTTGATTCATTCACCTAAAAAGATTCGTTCTTCAAGATTCGTTCTCAAGTGATTCACTTTAGCGAACCACGAACGATGTTATTCCGCCGATCCGGCGAAGGAAATCGGACCGAACTTTTACGAATTTGAGTACTACCTAACCTACCTACCTACTAGGTCGTCGAGTAAAATAATTATAACCAGATTTATTTTAAAGTAAAGCGAATTGATGTTTCATATTTCATAAAAAAAGGCAGCTGAATGATAAATACATCCTTGTCCGTTAAGATAAACAACAATTTCACAACTTTTTTTAAATGCCAAATATATAGCCAAAATTAACGCAAAATTATATATTCACGATTCGTCATTTTTTGTTTTAATTTTACTTTGATTTAAATTTATTTATCAGACAACACGCATAAATTGTTTACCTAAGCTTAATACACACCTCCTGTAAAGTGAGAAAAACATTAAAGACACATACCGCCACCGCCTGTCAGTTAGAGTTCTCGTATTATGCCGTAGAACGTAGAACAAAAGCGACCAATTTGCCGATGCCGATGTAAAATACCAAACCTTCGAATCCGAATCGAATGAACGAAGCAACCAAACTCGGAACTCGGCATGTTTGATCGATCGCAGAGCCATCGAGCAATTGACTCAAAAAAGATTCGAATCTTTTAAAAACAGGGAATCAATTCATTCGAGTCAGTGCACTGATTCGTTCTTTTTGAACGAATCGTTCGCGAACGACACACCTCTACAGTAGCGCCGACACGCATCGCTCCTACCGATGCCGACAGACGACACTGCGGTTTTTTCTTTTTTGTTTTCAAAAGAATTGCAAAGCCACAATTTATTAATCGATTTATTTATGTAGGTCTGTAAATCATAAATATAGGTACATTAAGAAAGCGCCCATGCCCACAAAAACGTAATGTTTCATGTTACATTGCAAGAATATGAGGAATCTCGTATTTCGCGTTCGTCTGACTCACGCCTCTGCCTCTTCTTATTATTCCAGGATTGTGGAAGTAATTGAGTAGAAAAAACGGGCGATGAGAGAGTGTTGCAATATAAAATATATGTTATTTATGTACGTTTACTTAATACCTTCTGCTTAATAATATTTCTTTTTCGATTCGATTTGATATTTTTCGCAATTCTTGACAAAATGTCGAGTTTGTGTACAAAGTTACAAATTTTCATTGAACAGTTTTTGAATGTTACCGCTTAAATTTAAATTAAAGGAAATCTGCATTATTAGTTAATTTATTATTCGTGCTCGTTGCCAAGCGCGTCGCCACAGTCAATGCACATGGAATGTGTTTCCAAAAATGTGTGTCATTCGGCAGAAATCGTGATTATCCGAATACAAAAACGTCACTTTTGGAAACCTACCAGTAATCAACAGGACGACAGTGGTAAAGAAAACAATATGCAATTCAAAAGTTTCAGAAACTACTCACTGTGCTGCTATTCAATTTGTAAACATATATAAAAAAGGTTACCCAAAGTTGTCATTAGGATATAAACATTTGCTGACAATTCTAATTTCAAAAGTAGCCTGCGAGAGAAGTTTTTACAAACTGAAGTGCTTGAAAAACAGACTAAGGAGTACGACATATTAAATGCAATAGAAAATGACGACGTCATTGACCGTTTATGGAAGACCAATGTTTTATTTTTAAAGAAACTGTTATTTTGACTGCAAAACTTTCTTCTTTTCCATATCGATAAACATGGACACAAATATTATTCATTGCGTACTGCCAATGCCAATGGAAAACGCCATTATATTAAGAGTTCTTTTTTTTTATTTATGTGATATTTGTGTTAACAAAATTAATAGTGCGTTTTTATTTATGTTTATATGTATTTATTGTAAGTTCTTTTTTTACCTGTGTTTGTTTTTTATTAGTTATTGTAAAATCATTTGTGGTTAATTTATTGATAAAAACATATAAATAAATACTTTTGATTTTTTTGCTGGAGCGTCGCGGCGCCGTTTTAATTGACTTCCCGCGCCAGTCTAAGGGGTCCCATTTGCCCCTGCGAATTGTCATAAAATTCATACCCAGAAATCCAAATCTCTGTAGCCCGGCAACAACCCCTATATTTTTTTCTAATTGTAGGTATGGTCAAGTAATGAATTATTTTATGGCGAATTCAGCAATATGATTATTTACTGCGTTACTTTTTTTACTGAATATAAGTCGCATTTGGTATTGTCAAAAACTTATTCACTCGATAACAGCTGATTAAATTCTATACCAATTAATCTTATTACCTTTAGGTATTGGAATGGTGACTCAAATGAAAGTATAATTTGGGTACTTTTTAATGATGGGTCAATTTAAAGAAATGAGAAAATTATGTATTTGAGTATTTGAATTTTGACTCACTCTGTACAGATTTGGTTTTTAAAATTAAAAAAATTATGCGTAGACATAAATGTTGACTTAAATCGAAAAAATTTTAACGTAAAAAATTAGTTTTCAATCGTTTCTCTTGCACTATATAGGTCATCGACTTAAATAAAACTGGTTTTAGCGTGTGAAATACCTTGTATAATCCCATACTACTTGGTATTATAATGGAAAAAGCGAGAACAATTCAAATGTAAAATATAGGGTGTTCCATTTAAAAAATCCTAACATTGATATGTATCACTAACCTATTTGAAGAACTTTATATTATTGAAATTATTTTTAAGTTGTTGCCTTTCCTGATATAAATCTCACTTTGAAAACATATTTAAAAATATCAAATAGTTTTTGCTCTACAGACCGAGACGTTACCGGTGGCTTACCTTGTATATTGTCGCTATATATTTTTATTATTTGGAGATGGATAAAGAGGACTGGAAGCTGTAATATGTATATAGAAAATAAGCGATAAAAATAAAAAAAAAAAAAACGAAAAAATCGATAATTTTTAATTTTTTATTTTTCATTTTGAGGGGACAAATACCCCTCCCCCAATCTCCCTCCTTTCTACAAATGGTCATGATTTAGAACTGTTCACCCTCAGAAAAAATCCTTCAAATTATCAAAAAGTGATAAAAATAGGTTGGGTAGGGAGTCCCCGGAAACGGTAGTTGATGGAGGAAACCAGGAATCATATTCGGATTCAGGACGTCATTTTACATCAGAATCAACAGGAATGGGTGTTAGGGGTGATTTGCATGATGACCAAAATCATCAAAATTACATCTATCTGTATACAGATAAGGAAAGTATAGGAATCATGATTTTTTTCGACCTACAGTTTTTCGACGGATTTTTACGTTTTGAGGTCCCCTGAATCCGTTTTGACTTTTCTGTGTGTCTGTGTGTCTGTGCGTCTGTGCGTCTGTGTGTATGTGTGTATGTGTGTCTGTGTGTCTCTGTGTCTGTGCGTCTGTGCGTCTGTGCGTCTGTGCGTCTGTGCGTGTGTGTCTGTGTGTCTGTGTGTCTGTGTGTCTGTGTGTCTGTGTGTCTGTGTGTCTGTGTGTCTGTGTGTCTGTGTGTCTGTGTGTCTGTGTGTCTGTGTGTCTGTGTGTCTGTGTGTCTGTGTG